TAGCTGTCGTCGTCGTGCAGTAGCAGTCGAAGCAGTAGCTGTTGTGGTGGCACCAGCAATAGTATGTAGTAGTAGCAGCAGCAGCAGGAGTACTAGTAGTAGTGGTAGGACTAGGGCTCAGACTGAGAGCAGGAGTAGGAGTTTTTTGTACTTTTTTGCCTCCTGCATGGCATCTGTCGGCGAAGCAGGGATACAGTCGGATACAAGTGAATTCTACACCTCTTGTCGGGTGTGAGTATGACTGTTTACCAGCATCATGCAATCAGTTCAGACTCACTTCAACCATTCGGTGGAAGCTATCCCAAGGATGTTGGCAAAATGCCATGTTGTAACGACTCTTTCTGTAGACACGTATGGCAGGGGCATGCAAATCAATTTGTCATGCATACCCTCAGTGTAAGCAAGCACTAATTCCAAATTCTTCATTCCTAATTCATCTCGTCACAAGCCGGCAATCAGTGTCAGTTCATTCGGTTTTATTTCATGGAATAGTCAAGAGATACACAATCACTCGACTATGCCACAAAATCAGAGTAGGCCATGTCAGCGGTCACATCTCACTTGTTCTGTCCGCAGACTGCATGTATGCACAGGGGAGGCAACTCAACCCATGGAACTTTCAGCAGTCATCATGCGACAAGAATCCAAGGATTGCACCATTTTGCAAGTAAGCTGGATTACGAAGGCCTCCAAGGCCACATAGTCAACAGTGCTATAGAAGAGTGGTCAAAAATGACCAGTCTCCTATACCACTCACATGCCAGAATTTGCCACACGCAGTGGTCATCATGCAGTCGAGAAGCTAGGAGCCACATCTCTTTTGCAAGGAAACTGTATTTCCAAGGTCACCCAAGGCCACAGTCAGCAGTGCTATAGAAAACTGGTCAAAAGAGACCAGTATTCTGTATCACTTGTATGCCAGAATTTGCCACCAAAGGCCACAGTGACAAAGGTAATGTTGGCAACCAGCTCATTCTCAAGAATGGTCGACCCCGTAGTGAGGCAGCTGCCACGACGTCAGCGCCACACAGTCCGTAGATAGGGGCAGCAATGTACACACGCAGCGCCAACACATATCAAGGTCGCCTCACTTCCCCTCCATGCATGCATGAAAGGACACTGGAGAGGCACCGCATGGTCCCAAACCCACATACAATGATAGCCAGAATGTCAGCAGATCTTTTTGTTTGCTTTTTTGGTTTGTTGTCCACTTAACATCAAGTTTTTCAAGGTAGCACTTGGGAAGCATAGTCCTCAGCCAGCTCATGTGGTTCCGTCAGTCTGCGTAGGTGGCTTCTGCATTATAGGTGGTAACCACTTTCTGTCACGAAGCCAGTCTTGTCGTCTAGAGTCCACATGGCAAGTTTGCGAGAAAGCGGCCATTGCCATCCAGAGCTCGCTGTCGCGGGTTCAGGGTTACAGGACACAGGGTTAGAGGTTGTAGTTAGGGCGAAAGAAATCTATGCAAGACCATAACTAAAATCAAGATACACATTATGATGAGGAACCCCGCATCAGGGTCAAGGATAGTCTTTTAGACAGAGACACGGCGTTGGTGGGAAATAAGTAGTTCATATGTCTGAACTTTGTAGACGTTAACCTCGGAGACTCAAGCATGTGTCGATGCCTACCAGTTTATTCCAAGTTTTGCAGGTAGCATCCATCATCCAAGCAGTGCAGCATCATCACATTTGTTGTTGTAGTAGTATAGGAATACGGGACTGGGAAATACGGGAAAGGCATGGAGTAGAGAACCAATAGGATTAGGAATTTCGGGAAGACGTGGGTTACTAATAGTCCCATGACACCAGTCAATGACCTTTGCAGCGTAATGACATTGGAATGCCAAATTCAGAATTAGGAATTAGGAACAACGGTACATGCATACTTGCATATGCACCTGTGTGCATCTGTTGAATTTAGGAGTGCCACAAATAGTGAATTTAGGACTCGCCAGAATGAAGGGTACAACCACAAACAAGCAAAAAGACAGCACTAAGTATCTTCGAGTCTCTTACTTGTAGAGTGGCACTCAATCAATGTGGTGTGTGATCACACCATTCTCATCGAGGGTCATTGACGAACTCGTTGCCTGGGATTCAGCACTCAAAGACTGTGTGAAACAGAGATCCAGCTGTTTAAGGCGCTTGGCGGGAGGCTGGTTTGCTTCAGTGGGATGAGTCGGGAATGCAATGTCTCTGGTTGCATCTGTACTCGCTGGCATGGGAAAACCTTGTGAAAGGAGATCATCAACAACCCCAGGGGATAAGGTACGAAAGTGTAGGACTGTCCAGGCAATAAGAACTAGTCGGGGTTGATTAGTTTCCCAAGCCTGACTGGCATGCAACAATCTTCTGGCATCAAAAATGACTGGCTTCTCCACGGCTGTGAAATCAAGTCCTGCCACTTGGATACCTAAGTGTTCCCGAAAGGAACAACCATCAGCATGTGCAATCCAGAGCCCTCCACCCTTGACATTGGACAGGACTTGGAAGTATGTGCCGCATGGGCCGTTCCGCATGTCTCTGTGCGGAGGCCGCGCAAGATCTTCACGTAAGGCGCAGGTTGTGAAACAGAAATCGGGCGCAGACTGTCTGATGAAGTTGACAAGGAGTCGTGACAAATTCGGATGGCGATCAGACCCACAAAGTCCTACTGAACTACTCCGTGGACTAGCACCAAAGTAGAGAACTGATGGAGGATGGGACGATGATGGTATAGACTCTCTAGCATGCTGCTTGAAGGATGTGGGTACGAGGTCCCATGCATCTTGGATGTCTGATCGCTGAATTGTTGACCCTCTTGCAGCTTTGCAATTGACTGCATAGCACAAGGTCTCTGATTCAACTACTCGGAAGTCAACCTGCAAAGCACGTGCAAGGATTTGCTTCTGTTCCGCTGTAAGTTCAGTTTGCAGTGGGGCAGAGTGTGGCTTGCCCACATCTACTCCTCCTTGCATTGTGATGCGGGGTTCCTTACAACATGTAATGCGCCACTATCTTTTGAGCCGGCTTGTCTCAATACACATGGAGGGTTTCATGAGTGCAAGTTGCTCACGTCACTATTCCTGAGAGACATGGCAGTACTGAAAGTTGGCAATGCACGATGCTCATCCCTCTTTTTGCGTGCAGACACCAACGACTTCGTGATTCTGACCGAGCAAATTATCGCCATGCAATAAATTATAAATTATGGTCAGGCAGGCATGCCAGGTGCAAGTTGTCATGACTTTAGTTCCCAAAATAAGTATCATCGAGTCATCTAGTGTAGCATACCGCACGCCTGGGCAAGGTATGCCAGTGCTTCTCGGGCCCTTGCATCATGCTGCAATGCTGCCTGGGCAGTGTTCCACTGGAGAGCAGGTGGCTGACTCGGCAAGCTCGAAAACAGTGAGACTGGCTGTCTGACTGCTGGCATGGCTTCATGTAGTCGTAGTACTGGTACTTCCGGTGGAGCACTGCCTTGCAATGGGGAGATTGGTGATGGCATCGAGGTCGTGGGTGTACTGCTTTTGGGTACTGTCGGTGTCGAATCACTTTGCGGCATGTCGTTCGATGACTGACTCGGCGGTGTCGGCGGTGGTGCCTTTAGTTGTGGTGGAGTTAAACGTCCAATGATCTTCTCCATCTGCGTCTGAACCTTCAGCAGTACTTGTTGAATTTTTTCCACCGCTTCTCCCAGCTCTGCCAGAGTGTCATCTTGACCTTTCAAGTGACCCTGATTGGCCCACACATTTTGATTCGCCAGGTCAAGGTTTTGTTCTATGCTTCGGACTTGTCCATGGCTCGCTGCATTGTTGTGCAGGTACTGCAGGGGTTGTAGGAGCTCAGATCGCATGGTTGTCAACATTGTTTGTGTCTGCTTCGCCTGCGCGACTAAGGCTTGGTGTTGGCTCGTCTCATTCAGACGGAAATCCTTGAAACTGTTGAGGTGTTCGTCAATCAGCTTCAGGGCATCCTTTAAGTCAGACTCCAGCGATTCAATGCGATTTGTGTCCGTCAGCAGGGTCATCTCGGCCTGCACTCCTGAAAGCACGCTTATGATGCTGTCCAGTCTGGATTGCAGTTCTGCCGTCAACCACGTCTGTAACGAGCTCTGTCCCAAGTCCGTGATCTCCTGCATGCTTGTCTTTGTCATCTTGTGACTCTTCGCGCGAGAGTCATCAATGCTTGAATTAACTTGCATGGGTAATTGTTGCAGAAGTCGTTCCAGGTCAGTCATGCGATTCATGAATTCAGCCTTGGTGTCATGCATCTCTGTCTGGATCTCGCTGAGGTCAACAGGCGTCGGCGGCTGCGACAGAGTTGCAACGGCCTTGAGCTCAGTAATGAGCTGTTGCACCTGTTCCGAGTTGTTGTCAGCTTGCTGTTGCAGGTCATCAAGTTTGTGTTGCAGTGCGTCACTGAGTTTATCCAGGAGGTTCTTTGTAAGGAACTCCATGTCATACTGGAGGGATATGCGACGAAACCACAATGCCCCTAGTGCAACTGCCAGGCAAGCAATGACAATCGACAGCATGTTGAAGTACATGGACGCGCCACTCCAAGCAGGATTCGCAGAGGCTGCAACTAAGCTGCGCTCTTCCATGCGATCCATGAGGGGGCACTACAATATGGAGTATGGAGGCGTGTGAACTTTTTGTTTGACACGGCTGCAAGGACAGATCAGCAATCGCAGTAATGATCTCACTGTATCTGCCGTGCCGTCAGAAAAACATGATGTCACATACTGGCACATGTCGACAACAGGGTGACCAAGCCAAGCACTTACTCGGTCACTCGCTGGACAGCTCAGGGCGTTTTTTTGCATCAGTAACTGTCAGGTTGGGCGTCGGCATGCAAAGTAAGACATGCTACTTGCATCAATTCAAAATTACGGTGCCTATTTCCAGCACATGCACTTGCAATATATTACAAATTAAAGAATTAGACTGTTCAGTTACTGTAGTTTGCATTCGCACAGTATGGTACATCATCGGATCAAAAATGACATGTGATGTCTCATGCCTCCGGCTGTACTGGGAGCGTTGAGCCATCATCTAGGGTGACCCAGTGTGCTTCCGGTGCCTCGGTCAACGATGGTTCGTGTGCTGTTGGGGGAGGTACCGCAGGATCAGGGCGTGTTCGCCTTCGACCTTGTTCTTGCATCTGCTGGAGGTCTTGCATCTGCTGGAGGCAATGGTATAGTGGATCTGTCGTCTCAACAAGTAGATCACGTAGTTGTCGAAGCAAAGGTTGGTGTAGTCGAGCTTCAACTTCGCACGGGATCACGTCGAGGGACATGAGGATTCGATGATTCTGGTTGAGTACTGCCACCAGTGCCTTTTGAACATCTTGTCTGAGTACTTGGGCGGTATTGAAGCGTCTCTCACTTCTGTCAAGTAGTTGGTGAACTATGTACTTGAGTCTATCCACCGCTGCAATCAACTGCGCCGTGTGATTCGAGAAGACTCGCTCCTCTTCTTGAAAGATGTCCTCAAGCACATCGAAGACAGAGTTGACTGAGGTCTGTAGTCTCTCCGTAATTGGCTCCAGGTCATGCATGGCAGCTATCAGCTTTCTTACCGTTCGCTCATACTTATCAAGCTTGTGCTCCATTAAGGCCTGCATGCGAAGGATCATGGCTTGTGTGTCCCGCAATTGTTTCCATAGGGCCTTGTGAGCTTTCTCCACCTCAATTCGGACACTTTCAGGAAACAGTGTAGGCTCTTGCATGAGGACTGGTAGTCGAAAATCGGCCAGCAGGGACTGAGTGTCATTCATGCATCTATGGAGTCGCGCAAGTTGCAGCAGCATGTACAAGAGTAAAATCGCAAGGATGACCATCGCTGTGACGACGACAATGATGACTGTGGGTATCCAAAGGTCGGCTGCTTGGGTCGTCGATCTGGTATCAGCACTGAAAGGTTCTTTCAACGGCAGTGTTGCAAGGCATTGGGCCATGGCCTCGAATTTTAGGGATGTCCTGCCCCCCCCCCTTGGTCTTTTGCTCGAGTCTGGCAAGTTGCAGCAACTTAAACCAATTGGGGGTCATAGGCACATGGTGTTGACGGGTCCTACGGTCATGTCACATTGTGTGCACAGCGAAAGATTGCAGGCATTCATTGGAGCCCTTCTCCACTTCAGCCTTCAAAGTTCTGACACTTCACTCACACAAACTGTAGATTCTCAAGCCATGCAAAATGTGTTGGAAAGGAAACCATAGAAATGGAAATGCACTCAATAGGTTTAGCATCCTTGGAAGACTGAAGACCAGAGACCCCAGGTTGCGAGGGACCCGCCTGGACTGCTCCCCGTACTCGTCGACGTGTTGGCAGCAAGGTTGTTTGGATTTACAGCCACATGGGGAAGTTCGGAAGGGGTTGGTGATCTCGTAAAAGGTAGACTTCTTGATAGTCAACTTTTCGAATAACCCTTCTAAAGTGCGTGAAGTGATAGGCTTCTTTCGCGCTCAGATCAGCAAGTTCATTTATAGGGTGTCCTTTATGTGCTCTGACGTGCTTAGCCTGTACGGAGTCACAGACACTATGCCACAGAGAGAGTAGGTTATTGGTGTCAGGAATATGACAAGTAGGTTGTATTGAATCATCAAGTATTTGGAGTACATACTCACTATCTGTCATATAGATGATAGGCAGATCAGGGTTTTTTGTCTAAGGTGTTTGATGAGCCTCAAGGTCTCACAGGAAGCAACTAGTTCCGCTCTGATATTGGTGCAGTATCCATCAATCCTACCTTGGCAGATTGCCGCATCAGTAAGTTCAGCATAAGGAGCTAAAATGACAACCCCGTAGGAGCCATGAGCAAGTTTCGAGCTTCCATCCGAGCAAAAAACCACTGCAGCTGTTTCTTCAAGGTTATCCATTTGTTCAACCAGTTTAAAGGAGCTTGGGTATGGGCTTTCGACTGGCGGATGCCTCATGTGGAGGAGTTTAAAACTCTCTCCAACTTGGAGCAGCATTCGTCCATGTAGATCACACTGGTGAACATCAGGATAATACACAAGAGGATTGAGAGAGTGGGAGTGGAGCCAACGGTTTATCGCGGTTTCCCACAGAGTGCGGTCTGAGGCAGTTTGATACCAGTATGGTGGTTCACCAATGAGACGCACTGCTTCCCAGCCTTTCTGCAAGAAACGAGCAGCATTCGGCCAGAAACCTAAAACACGTTTTTTAATATGGCCATAAGAAGCAATCCACTCTTCATTACGAATCCCTAGTGCGATGGTAAGGGGAGAGCGCCTATTCTCTGGGATTCGTGCAGCATGTCCCCAGAAGCGCCAGAAGGATTGAGCATGCAATCCTTCCCATCTGCTATGCTGTAGAATCTGCGCAGTCATACGCGATGCACGTCTGCGGACAATCCAGTTATACGCAAGAGGGGTGAAGGGATCAGATGAATATTTACACAGGCTTCCTAAGAAGGAGGTATGGAGGGTCTTAAGGGTTTTCTGGACTGCTTGAATTGGTCGCACACGTGCAGACATCCACCGCCATTTGCTTGTGACGTATGAATTAAGGAGATGCAGCTTTTTACGAATTATTCCTGCAGGTCGTTTGAGTAATTTAAAGTGCGCCCAAAAGGTGTTTGTAGCCATAGCTAGTCGGGCGCTAAGTACCGAGTGACAATGCAGCTTAAAGCCAATTAGGACCCCTAGGAATTTGAAGACATCAACATGCTTCAGGGTGGTGCCGTCAATATGAATAGAATCAAGTTGAACAAAGGGGGAGGACATTACTTGCCATTTTTCAAGAGACAGTGTAAGTCCTATAGCAGCGAGACAATCACGAACCTGAAGTAGCATTCTTTGAAGCTGATGAAAGCTATTAGCTAAAAGAACAAGGTCATCAGCAAACAGAATGTGGAAGAGCTTAAGTCCGGCTTCAGTGCAAACCCAAGTAGTTTCATCAGATTGCCAAGCTTCCACCACATAGCCTAGAAAATAGTCAACTGTTCTAGCGAATATCTCTGCGCTATAGGAGGAACCTTGGAGGATTCCTCTGTCAACCTCCTGAGACCAACTAGAATCGGCCATACTAATTAGCACAGAAGAGTAGGTAATGATGTATAAAAGTAATTCGGCTTCACGATGCGGGCCCAAAATCTGCATGAATTTAGAGATTGCAAGGTGGTCGAGGTGGTCAAATGCGCTCGCTATATCTAATTTGGCAATGACTAAAGGCAAGTGGTATTCGTTTGAAAGTCTGACACATTGTTGTAGGGCACATGTGCCTTCTAGTGTTTGTGCCCCCGGCACGCAACTTAACTGACTTGCTCTCATTGCAGGAAAGTGTGCCCTGAGACGGAATAGTAGCAGTTTGGTAAAAATTTTACCAGGGACTGATGATAAAACAATAGGGCGAAGATCCTTGGGGGCCATGGGGGAGGGAACCTTAGGAATAAAAGTAAGCCTCGACAAAAGCCATTCCTCAGGGATAACAGTGGAGCCCAATAAGATGCAGTTGAAATAGTCTACAATGTGATCTTTTAATTCAGACTGCATTACAATTTGCAAGAATTCATAACTAATTCCATCAGAACCACAAGATTTTCCTCTTTTACAGGTTTCAAGAATTCCAATTAATTCATCAGGCGTAAAAAGTCTCGGGGCAAGTAAAGGGCCGACCTTGTGTTGCCACTCAGCCAGGGCTAAGGATTTGGGACGCGGATCAGGGGGAGTGAATTTCACTTTATAAAAGTGTTTCAGATCACAGATAGCTTTAGTCCTACCTCCAGCACGAGTTAGAAAATTACATTGCGTAATTAAGGAAGACTGTCTTCTTTTGAAATAGGAAATGACTTTGTAGTCACCTTGCGCCCCTCTGTCAAGCAGCTCACTGTGCCATTTTTGTTTGGCAGCAGCTCTAAGTTGGACAATTTGTTTTCCAACTTCCCTGGATGCTGCGCCGCTCAATCTCCGACGTTCAGTGATGAGGGCTCGAATTTCGGGGGTATCTTTATACCTACATGAAGTACCGCGAAAGGAACAGCTGCTGCAAGCGGACGTAAGGGACGACATCGACAAGTCTTTCATTTGAAGATCCAGCTTCTCAGCAAGTTGATTGCAGGACTCCATCGCCTTACCCGGGTCGACAAACCATTTACCACTACGATGTCGGCAAGGTTTGCCAAGACGTTGTCTGGTATGAGAATGAAGAGATTGAGTAAGTAACACAGCCCTGTGATCAGAGCCAAGTATTTTATCGGAGTCCTGCACAACACGAAAATAACTCTCCTGCACTAGTGGCTGAGATGAGAGGACATAGTCAATTTTGGAGTAGGAGCCCCTAGTATTAGACCAGGTAAAGGAGTCTGGAGGCCAGAACTCTAAACCATGGGAACGAACAAGTAGGGTGCTAAGTGCTCCTCTCTCATCACATGCATTTGCATCAAGTGTCCTTTCCGTTGCACCTAATTCATAATTAGTATCAATGCAGACAATGAGGGTGTCATGCAGTTTTCGGGCGTGCAAAAATTCATCTAATTCATGCTGTGTTTTCTGCCACATCGCAATACAGTCCTCCCTCTGTCCATGGGGAAGGTGTAGGGACACGAAGAAACGCTTCGTAGAGTCTCGTTTAACTAGTACTCCAATGCCAGCCGAGAAGACTTGAACATCCGTTACAAACGGGAGTACTCGTGCAGGAAGGCCAACCGAAATAGAATGGTGAGTCTTGGGTAAATTGGTAACATAAAACCCCCACGCGCCATCTAGTTTGGCCTCATGCAATTTCCATTCCTCAGTTTGAGAAGAATGTCCACCTAATTCCTGACTTCCCAAAACATCAAGGCCTTCGAGGCAAAGTTGATCCCAACAAGTCTCAAGGTCCCTTAGGGACTTGCCTTGTAAATTCCAGCTCGCTCCGTGAAACATTTCCTTTTTGGGCTTTTGTCAGGACCTAATGGTATCTCCTCCATGCTGACTGAAACACTCTTGCAAGGATTCTGCCGGACGGCCAGTAGCCGTAGCAAAGGCAGATGCACTGATAAACCACTCCATGTGGTTTCCACGGTTATCAGGCAGAAAGACATCACCGGCAACCGAGTCTTTCTTGTCAATGTGAAAGAGGACTTGTACGTTGTTCAGGAATACTCTGCCTTGCCAGATGATCTCGGGTTCAGGAACTTTCTTGTTGCAATATTCAGGTAGCGACTGGAAGAAGACTTTGGTGAGTACGCAGGCTCGGATTCGGGCTCTTTCCTCGGGGGTTTTGTTTTTGGTTGCCCATAGCTTGCTCTCAGACTGTCCTTCGATACCACTTTTGAAGACCTTTGACTTCAAAGCCTGAATCACGGAGTTTTGATGATGACGCAGCTGTGAAATGTGAGCTTCAGGATCAGGGAAAGACAGAGTAACTCTTACGAAGTTAGTTCGGTTGGAGGGGGCCCACAAGTCAGCCCAGCAATTCTTGCAACCCACACACGAGAGCATATGTTTGACTTCTTCAAAGGCCTCACTTTTTCTCGCATCAGTCCAACCTCCGACAACAATTTGAAGGTCATCTATTTCCGGTTCATCTCTCTGTGCGAAATGTGGGGAGCGGGGTGACTTAGGTGTCATCCCTGAGGTAGGTCGTCTTGGGGTACCTGGCCCTCGAGTTGGAGTGGGGGAACGGGGAATTTTTGTTGGAGTTCCCGGACTTGTTGTTCAAGGGTCTCAAGACGAACTTTCGTAGATTCATGAAGTGACGTATGATCTTTCATGCCACTTTCAAGAGTGCCTAGGCGCAAGTCATGACTCTTTAGCTCATTCCCAAAGTCAAGGACATCGACATGGGTACGGTCTTGTTTCTGATGCAGTGCAGCCATGGAATCAAGCAAATCACTGATCCAAGGCGGTGTAGAGTTTTGTTGCTGTTGTACAAGATGCGCAAGCGGGGTCACAGGAGCGGGAGCTAGGCTGGGAGTAGGAGCAACAATCCTATCCTTGTCATTCCCTTCAC